TAGGCAAATGCCGATTGTGAATGGTGACTTGTCGAGGATGGCCTTTGTGAGTGTCGTTGTGTGTGTGCTTGTGTGCTGCTGGCTAAAGCCATTTTTGTGTCCAACATTATTACAGTCTTGGCATCGGTGTAGCTTAAACTGACAAGATTATTCAAAAGCCAAGTACTACAAGGTCAGCAGGATCATACAGGTTTTGTCTTTGGGCGTCAATTGGCACTGTGTGAGAAACTGGGACGATGGACATTCGAAATAGGAGCAGGGGGTGTGGGGATAGAGGTTGAAACAGAGAGTTTGATAGGTTTGGGGAACTGCAACTATTTCAGGACCACTCTGGAGTCCAGACTAGATTTAACTGGTTGGTCCAGAGTTTTGTCCATTGTCAAATAATCTATCCAATCCGTCAATTGTTTTGAGTTAGCTTTTTCGAGATTCTAATGACAACCAGAAACCTGCGTATGGTGTGGCATAGTTGCCAATCGATGACAGTTATTCATGAGTCATGTGCGCGTCGGTGGCACAGCGGTTAGGATGCTAGCCGATCATGCACATGGTCTGGGGTTCTATCCCCTGCCGGCGCACACCTGATATGAATGGTCCACCTGCAAAATTTGAACTGTCGATATCACATGCTGAAAATTCCATACTTGTACCAAAAATATGGTGTGGAATCAAGCTGTAATCAAAATTAAAAAAATAAAATAGTTAAAATATTTCAACCACTTGATTCGATTCTACTGGCCGAGTTATAGTATACTAGCTAAGATAGCTAAATAACCTGAAGTGATTTCGAAACCACAATGAAACAACTGTCCACAGACTACTGGTTTCTAGTACAAAATTATTCCAATCATTAATGCTAGAAACATTTGTGGCGTACAAGCTCTTTAACTTAGGATGTTTTCTAGTATTCATTCCCTGCATTATCCTCATTGTTACCTACCGTAGTGTGACAAAGTGGCTGGGTGAACCCCTCCAACCGTTACACAAGATGGTAGTGAATCATAGTGTTAAAGACGTTTATGAATTCATTGCTAACGTACATGATATTAAGCAAATGCTATCCTTAGATGTCGCATCACTGTTCACCAATGTACCACTTATGGAAACTGTAGAATCCATATGCCAACAGATATTAGAAAAACAATTCGACATCGGAATTCCAGTTATTAGTCTGAAAGAGTTGCTTTTAAGATGTACTATGAATGTCACAATCAACAACCTTTATTACAGAGAAATCGACGCTATTGTTATGGCTTCTCTATTGGGGCCAATTTCGGCAGATTTCTTTCTTGCTAAGCTTGAAAATGGTCCATTGAAACAAGTAATTGAGAAAACCGATTCTTATTTTCGTTATTTCGATGATACGTTTATTATTCTTAATGTGAAAGCTGACAAGAATGAAATGCTGAAAAAAATTTAATGATGCACATCCATCGCTCATCTTCACTTATGAAGATGAACATGATGGTAGACTACATTTCCTTGACGTCCATTTGGGTAGAAGAGAGGATGGTACACTCAAGAGAGATATCTATGGAAAACCTACATCTGTAGGACAATATACACATTTCCTCAGTTTTGTGCTAAATCAATTTAGTCAGATGCCTCACCAATAGAGCAAGACGGATCTGTACGGATGATTCCCTACAAAATGAGTTAGGATACATCCAAAATACGTTGGTCCAAATGGGTTATCCTAGTAGATTTGTATAGAGACACATGAACACTAAGTACAATAAAGAGAAACTGACAACAGTTGAAAAGAAACAACTGTTCATTAAATTGCAGTTTAATGGGGACGTGGCCAGAGATGTCTTACATCTGAGATTATCGAGAGCGATAAAACGGACTTGTACTGCAGCCACCCTTTGTTTGTTAGTTTGCAGCGACCAATTTTGATTGCGAACTACTAGACAGCTCAACAAACGCACTAATGAACATCTTCCTTCATGGTTCATAAAGGCCAAATGAAATCTATAAGAAGTTCTATTTAGACTCATTTGATTGGTAGCGGTCACCAAGTGGACAGAAGAAGAAGTGTCTTCAAGGTTATTTAGCGCATTCCATAGAACCTCTCAAATGGAATTTGAACCAGCCCTTTACACATAGCCGAAGCTACGAGAATTCGAGAGAACAGTCTCAGTCATAACTGAGGACCTATTTGAACATTTGAGACCAGCAGGATCAATTATCCCTCGACTCTACGGTCTACCAAAGTTACACAAAGTAGGTCTACCATTTCGACCAATTTTAGACATGGAAGGATCACCGTACCATCAGATTGCCAAAGGGTTGTCTGAGATGCTGGAGCCTGTCAGACAACAACACTGTAAGTACTCTCTACGTGATACTTTTGAATTTATTGAGTGCATAAAAGACTTGAATGTAAATGGCAAACGAATATTATCACTGGATGTAGAATCTCTATTTACGAATGTGCCGCTCACAGACACAATTTGTTTTCTTTGCAAGTATATGGATGACAAAAATCTGAGTATCGTAATACCGACCTCATACTTGAAAGAGTTGCTATTAAGGTGCACACTCAACGTACAATTTATGTTCAACGACGTCATCTATAGACAGAAAGATGGGATTGCTATGGGCTCCCCTTGGTCCACTTTTGGCAGATTGCTTCATGGCCAGTCTGGAAAACGGTATCTTAAAATCAACAATGAACAAATTGCTTCTGTACAAAAGATACGTCGATGACACTTTTATTGTTTGTCAAGATTTAAATTTTATCTTACAGGAGTTTCATAACTGCCATACTTCAATTAAATTCACAATGGAAGTCGTAAATGAATCAAAGATTCCATTTCTGGAAGTCGAATTTACAAAGAGAGATGATGGAACTCTCAAAAGATCTATCCATAGGAAGCCAACATGGAATGGCCAGCTGACAAACTTCTACAGCTGGATACCTATCACCCGTAAAAGAACTCTCATCATCTCGCTAGTCCACCACACTAGAAGAATTTATAGCGATGGCTGTTTAGAAGAAGAGCTCCTACTTCTCAAAAGCATCTTGGTTCAAAGTGGATACACACTGCGTTTCGTGGAGAATATGAACATGAAATCAAGGCCAAAAAGAGAAGAATACACATCATTGCCGAAGAAGACACTCTATTTGAACCTGGAATTCAGGGGCGCGTCCTTGCAGCAGATATCCTTAAAAGGAGAATCTCCAATTCCCTGAAGAAGACATTTCTGGCAGCAACTCTAAGAGTGATATTCTCTAGCCGTCCACTATTTCGGAGCAACGGAAAGGACAGACTTCCGCATATGACCACTTCAGTGTGCATATATCAGTTCACCTGCTATTGCGGAGCTAGGTACATAGGTCGTTCTATGCAGGTCTTATCAAAACGTGTTAGAGAACATCATCCAGCATGCTTGCAAAGAGAAGGCACTGGTTCACTCAGAAGTGCAATAATTGAACACCTCGTCAATACCTGTCACAGAATCTCAACTGACTCATCATTTAGAGTCATTTATAAAGTAAACAAAAATCTACCAAAGGAAGTGTGTTTCCGACTTCTTTGTACTGTGGAAGCCGGAGCTATGTGTTCAAAAGAAACTAGTCCAGCCTTTACATTTACCACAGACCTAGTTCGGTATGTTCCCTTCAGTTTTTTGTTTTGTTCTCTGTGTGTGTAATTTTCTCTCTTTGCCTACATTCAATTCATCCTATTTTTTCAGTTATAAAATCAGTTATTTTATGTTTGTTTCCATGCTCTTCCTGATCACCCTTGTAATCCGTTTAGAATAACCATTTTACAATTATATTCTAATCCTGTGTGATTATTTCTTTCTATGCCTTTGTAATCTATACTCACACCTCCTAACTTACACTTCAAGTTGAAAATTTCGATTTCAATTTGTTTCCATGCTCATTTTGTTTGCAACTGTAATTCGTTCTATCCATGCGTCTCTAAGCCTCTTGTAATTCATATCAATTTGAAAATGATTCTCACCTTTTATTCGCCTTTGAAATTATTACTCCAGTTATCAAATATTAATTGCGCATAAGTTGTAACTGTTTTCTAATCCTATGTAATCTTGTGTCTAAGCCCCTTGTAATCTATATTCGCACCTTCAAACTTTCACATCAAGTTGAAAATTATTATCACCTTCGTTACTGTATGTGGAATGAAATAAATAATAATTCTATACATGTAAACTAATCCATATAGATGCGATTGTACAGCTGCTTTTGAGAATGAAATCGCTGGAAAGATATCTGTGTTGCTGAACTTCTTGTGCTTTTCAGCCTAATGTTCCAATGGGTACTTTCCACGATTCAAAAGAAGTTTGTTCTACCTTTGTCTCTCCCTTGACCTAGATGAATTCGAATCATTCCCCCCCCCACCGTCTCCTATTTTTCATTTCCTTAGTGCTTTTATGATACTTATTTAAACTCTAATTATTTGCCCACTTCACCTACCTTTAGTATTACGTAACTTTTAAGATTTGACCTAATTTATTTATTTATTGAATTGTCTACATATACACACATAATACTACCTTTGTTATTCTCATCGCCACCTGCATAAACCTTATTATCATTATTTTGTTCAAAACATTTACCATATTATTATTATTATTACTATTTGATCCACAATATCACCGTCATTGCTTAAAATTGTTATATATGTAAATTAGAGTAAAGCCTGAAGAAGATCTAATTGAAAACAACGACACTGTTGGCTTCTACGGCTTGTTCTAATATTACTAATGGGGATATTTAAAGACAAGTAATTTTCATGCACACTTTTAATTCACAGATAATTCGCACCTCTCACCTAACCACAAAAATAAATTGAGTTTTTTCTTAAATGAGTGCACCTACGCTGAAAAGTGTATAAGCATAGAAGTATTGATTTTTTTTGCTGTATTGTTAGCAAAACAAGGTCTCTATATTCTGATTGGTCAACATCTTCTATTAGAATCATTTTGATAATAACCTATGTTACATCATCATTTATATTACTGAAATCATGAGATATTCATGCAAGCTTGGCAATCTGACATCAGCCTCATTAAACAAATTACATCGTACTACAAAAACTCAATCAAACAAAAAATGCATATCGTATTTTCTGACTTTTTTACTGATATTAGCAATATACGTTTTTATTGTGAATAAAGTGTCGAATTTCTGGGGCACAGAAATTACTCTTCTCGAGAATTCCTTAACATCTATCGAAAACGCCGTTGAATCTTCTTCGTCAGTATTATCCAGTCGTATCACTGAATTCGACGCCCACAGTGTGACTACTGATCGTATTCACCTGACAACCACTGAAAACCTTCACCATGATGAAATTAAACTATATGAAAAGGAATTTAAGGCAATTTTAAATTTCGAGTCTTTAAAACGTCCAAGTATTACAGTTAGTGAGAGAAAACAGGATGAATCTACTTTTAAAAATCTCTTCCCTCCATTATATCCTAATAGTAGATTCTGTTTAAAAAAGACTAGATTCTATTTTGGAGATATAAATAATAATAGCTCCAATTCAGTGAAACGGATTATAAATCTAACAGATGCATTAATACCACAATTGAATATGACGATATGGTCAAAAATAGCACCACGTGTATGCCAGTCAATTAAAACAAACCTTTTAATAATCATATTCTCATCAAATGAAAATAATGCTATCCGACAAAATATCCGCCAAACATGGGGTTCAGTTAAATATGCTTTCAGTGAAACAACAAATAAACAAAATTCGAATGGATTAAAAATCATTGAACATTTATTCATTGTCAATGCGAGTAAATCAAATTTACCACAAAATTCAACTGAATTTAAACAACTCATACATGAAGCTGAAGTAGAAAAAGATATTCTACCCTTGTTTTTAACCGGGATACAGCATAATTATGCAAGTTTACATATACTAGCTAGTGAATTTCTATTACATTATTGTAAAATGTCCGTAGATTTTATCCTCTTCATTAATGAGAATATATTTCCCAATTTAAACGCTTTAATTCAATATACAAGTTCAAAAAAATTACAACTTGACTCATTAAATTACATTAATCTACGCATATATTGTATACCAATTGAAAAGAAACGTATACGAGTTAAACCAAATATAAAATTCAGCGATATGAACATGCTATCTGAATGGGATGGTAAAATTTATCCTAACCATTGTGATATTGATGATAGTGGTTTTCTAATGTTATATGAAACAATGAAAAAATGGTATACATGTTCTCGAGTCTATGAACCTTTTCATCCTGTTCAAGTCTACTTAACTGGTCTGTTAAGATTTGTTGCTAGAATTGAATATGAAAGTTATTGGACAAATTATTGGACAACTGGCTACCTTTTACCAAGTATGGCTTTTAATAAAAATAATAAACGATATCTATTCTTTAAAGGATCGGGAAATCAAAGTAGTAGAGTATGGAAAAGTGTTTTCCGGGCAATATTAGGTCAATAGATTGATAAATTACATTCTATTTTGTTCTTCTGTTTTCTTAGAGTTATTATGCATTTTGTTTTATTTAATGATGATGAGTATATCGGTGTATGTGTGTATTTTTGTGTTTTATTTTTCGGAATCATAAATATATTACTGATGAAGTAGTATATACATATATATGTTCAAACTAAGTTCACATTTAACAATTTGAAAAAAATTTGGGCATTGGGTATATGATATTAATTATAATAAAGGTGTTTTGTATTTCCCAATGAATGAAAAACAAAACGATATTGTCGTTGTTTTTACTGACGTTTCGCTATTTAATGCTGCTGCTAATAGCTTTATCAAAGTAGTATTATTAAACCGGTATTTACAAAATCTCAGCATATATATAACAAAGGGTTAAGGGGTGAGAAAATAGACTACTTAGGTCAAGTTAAAAGGACATATTGAAAGTCAAAATAACAATGAAGATATTTAAACCAAATAACAAACTTAACAGTACATATGTTATGATATCAAAATAAAGTTTACTAACTTGATCATCGTTCGTTGGTCTGGAGTCGTTTTTTGTTGTCAAGTTGTTGAATTGGTAAAGATAACAAAATCAAGTGTAGATTGTTGGATTTGATCAGTGTGTAAAATTTAAAAAAGCGGTGTGTGTTTACATTGTGAACTTGCATATCACATTTTTGTTGATTTTGTCACTTCATGGGGGAGGGAGGTCTTGTAACCAAGTCAGATTCTGTTTTAGTCCATCACTTCTACTTAAACAATTTGGATTCCATTAAGTATGAAGTGCTTCTGATATTAGACGTTCTTTGTGATTTCTGAAGTTTTTCTGGATTATTTCAATATTGTCAAAATCAATTTTGTAGCCTGATTCTATAGCGTGTAGACAAGCTATGGCTGATGATTTTTCAAGTTTTTCTAGTTCAACCGGATTTCTCGGTGGTCGAAGAGATGCTCTACGGTGTTCATTTCTTCTGACTTTGATTTCTCGGGATGTTTGTCCGATGTATACCGCATCACATTCCAAGCAAGCATTTTATTTTATAGACACAATTAGATAGAGAATCTTTACGGATTCGGTCTTTTATATGGACAAGGTTGCTTTGAAGTGCGTCTGATGTCTTGAAGAAAACTCTGTTGTGCTTATTGAGTAATCTTCTGATATCCTATGATATCTCTGCTCTATATGGAATGACGACTGTTGATGTCCATGTTTTCGGAATGCATTTTCGGCCATACTTAATGTCTGTGTTGATTTTGTTGATGAAGTTCCTTGGGTAGTTGTTTTGCTTGAGAGTTTTAGTGATGTTTGAAATTTCTTCTTCGTTTTCTTGCTCATCTGTTATCAGAGAGTGTGCTCGTCTAAGAATACTTGAAACAACTGAAATCTTTGCGCTGATGGGGTGTGATGATTTGAAGTCTAAATATTTATTGGAGTGGGTTTTCTTCCTGAATATGGATATACTAAAATGTCCGTTTTCCTTTCTCTTAACTAGGCAGCCTAGAAATGGAAGTTCACCGATGTCTGATTCTGCTTCCGAAGTGAACTGGATTTTGGGAGATACACAGTTTATTTTCTCCAGGAATGAATTGTGTAGATCCCGTTTTAGTACTACAAAAGTATCATCCACATATCTTAACCATATTTTAGGAGTGAGTATGCTTGAAAAGATATTATTTTCGAATTTATTCATGTAAAAATCGGCGACTATTGGGGAGACTGGTGAACCCATAGGAACACCATTTGTCTGTTTATATAAACTCCCTTTAAATGTAAAATAATTACTTTCTAGATAGAATTTTAAGCTCTTAATTATTTCACTGGTGTCCAGTAGACGTCTTTATGATAGCGTTGTGTCTGATTCTAGTGAACTAGAAATCATATCAAGACTTAGTATATGCATACTTATTGAAAATATCAGTCATGTGGTGTATCATGAACACAGTGCTTCGATCAGTGCAGATCTCCACTTTCTTTATATATTTTTCTGCTCTTTTCTTCAACTGGCTAGCTTCACGATTGACCATAATCTCTCTCATCGCTTCGTCAAACACACACAGGATCTCCTCTATGTCACCATCACACCGACGAGTCACTCGTCGCTTCCCATTGCGATTCCACTCAAGCGACATCATTCGACAGCCTCATCAGCGTATCCCCGATCCATCTCCATTTTCTCTTAAATATTTGTTGAACACTTGGCTCTTAATTGGTTTGTTTCCAGTCAGAGTTTCTCGTTGTTAATTTCTCTTGATCAGCCGACCATTTGATCTTCTGTATAGAGTCAGCGAAGGTGGCAGCTGTTGCTAAAAGTCTGTAACAGGCTATTGGGGATCTTCCGCTTGACACGAAGTGCAAGTTTATGACTCATATTGAATAACTGACTGACTGACTGACTTCAGATTTGTGTTGAATAGAATCTGAATCTTGTTCTTCATGGTGAGACGGAATGTAGAATATTTCCAAACTGGTTTTAAGTTGATGAAGACATAACTTGTCTTTCCGGTTCCAGTCTGCTTTGACATCTTTACCCATCCTGACTGCCTGTAGTTGAAACCGCGCTTCCGGGATAAGTGAAGGAAGTGACCTCTTTTAAATTTCTCTTGTTAATGCTGGTTAGTGCTAAATGTTGTTACTGATGGCTGATTATCTTCATCACCTTCGTCTCTTCTATGTGTTCATCTGAGGCCCGTTCTGTTGTCACTTTTTTTTATTGGTTTTTGTCTGTTTATCTTCCTTGAGTTTGTGTGACGTTAAACAACATAAATCCACCGCCAAATGCCGATCTTCTAGAATTTTCTTCTGACAGTGTTATGGATCGTCATAGTTTAACTTTGCCCTGAATAACTAACTCCATAGAAAGTTTTTCTTATGGTAAAAAGTTTTTTTTTTTAAATATTATTTCTCAGTCCATGTTTCATTCTACTACTTAAGTCTTTACACACACACACACACACCATGGGAATTCCGACGCTCAATCAATTTAATTTGATCTCAGAATAGTCTAAACCATTTTAGAATATTTCCGCTGGTGTATAAGAAGTTTGAAACAGAGTTAATTTGAAAGCATTGGGTTCCTTCTGTTTAAAGCGTATGCATACTTCTGACACACTAACTTATCGAATTTGCAGTTCACAAATTAATTAGACAACATATTATTTCCCCAGGTAGAGCTAATCACCAAAAATTTGGTCATCCAAACTGAATTGTTTCTTGAAAATCCCCATTGAGTCATATGGAAAAGAGAAGACGTTCACCGAAGAGACTCTTTTCGCCGGCGAATTCATTCACATAGCTGTACAATCGCATTTATATGTAATTATTTGTCTGTGTGTGTGTGTACATGAGGTTTGTCAAGTTTAGATAATTGATCAGGTATTACAAGAATGATCTAATGTAGAAACAATGTTAATTAGACAGCAACTAAAGTAAGACTGAGTTAGTTAGTGAGTTAGATGACGTAATAAAATTGACTAAAATGCTTCAACTTAGGTCAGGGTAGCAACAGAGGTAATTACAGGTAGAGAGAGACCAAGTAGAAGCGGGGTAGAGAATAATGCCATTTAAATTAGAACTGAAATTGAGCAATTAAGTTGGATGACGTAACATAAATGACTAGAAATCGAGCGTTGGTCAAGTCAGTAACAGTGGTAGTGAGGTGCATAAATTAAATCAAGTGGTGGTAGAGAACAAGAAGGTTGAAAATGTGAAGTATTACAATTGAGAAGACAAAATAATACTACTGAAGAGACAGAAGAGAATTTACCTGTCGCGTATTAAGATAGATTACGTCCATTGCAAGTGTAGTGGCTGAACGATCTTCTTCTGTATGCAGAGTTCAGGGCTTATCAACTGAATCGCCATTGCTTCTGCACTTTGAAGAAGTCTCATTCGTACACCTTTAGGAAAACTACTTCTCACTCTGTAGACGACTTTGAAATTTGTTTGGAGTGTGGAGATGTGGGGGCATCGTTTTTCTCCTTTGTGAAACCATGACTTAGGGTAAGTGTTCGGTGATACGTTTGGAAAGAGAACGCTGGGTGTACAGGCGACATACCTGGCTCCACATGAACAAGTGAAGTGATAGATACACATTGATGAGTCCAGCAGTGGTAGCTTATCCTTCACGTTTACATGAATCATATGTTTTGTGGAGTAGGTCAGTCGTAGTTCAGCTGCGAAGAAGGTCTCCTTAAGTGAGCGTGACAGTCGGTTTTTTAGTGTTTTCGCAGATATGTCTCCATTGAAATGAAAGTTGAATAGCTTTTCGGGACGCTCACCGTGGGCGGCTGTTTTGGTCTAGAATTCATAGATTTAGAAATAAATCTTTCTGGATAACAATTCTCGACGAGGATTCTCTTGAGATTGTCCAGTTCATCTTCTATGGTGTCCGGTGTGCAAATTTTGCGAACTCTGTAGCTGAATGAACGAATCACGTTTCGTTTGGTGTACAGAGGTAGGTACCCAACTGTGAAAGTTATTAATCTCTTAAGCCTATCTAAATCCCCACTGGTATTACTATTTTATTAGCTGGGAGTTACCTTTTGGAATTAATTTGACTCAAACGATGGCCAGTATGTAGAGTGTAAAACTAGAGATGAAAAAACATCTCAATCCAACGATTTTATTTTTCAAAAGAATGGATACCGAACAAAGAATACTCTTTTCGATAACCCCTTCATCATCAGGCTCTACAGTTATACATACGTTATAGTGAATAGATGAATTAGTGTTATGAACAACATTAATGTTGTTTAAATAACATCGAATCAATAATATTGATAGATTACAGTTCAATAGCATCAACATAAAATAAGCTGAATATCAGACAGGGAAATTAGGAAAGATAATATTACAAATTCATGAATTTATAGTTTCTAGTGAAGGCTGATCAGGGCAGTAGTAGTGGCTGGTTGGACTTGCTTCTTTTGAACACATAGCACTGGTTGTTTGAGGCGAATTGCAACAGCCTCTGATGTTTGGAACATGCGGTGCTTCGATG